TATGGAATATTACTCAGCAATAAAAGAGAATAAAATCATTGCTTTTTCAGGTAAATGGATGGAGTTGGAGAAGATAATTCTAAGTGAAGTTAGACAATTTCCCCTCCCCCCCCAAAAAAAGAAACAAATGCCAAATGTTTTCTTTGATATAAGGAGGCTGATTCATACATAGTGGGATAGGGAGCGGGAGCATGGGAGGAATAGATGAACTCTAGATAAGGCAGAGGGGTTGAAGGGGAAGGGAGGGGGCATGGGGTTCTTAGTGATGGTGTAATGTGATGATCATTATTATCCAAAGTACAGATATGAAGACACAAATTGGTGTGAATATGCTATGAATACAACCAGAGATATGAAAAATTGTGCTCTATATGTGTAATAAGAATTGTAATATATTCTGCTGTCATATATAAATAAAAATAAAAAATAAATAAAAGCATTAAATAAGAAATTCCCATCACTGATACACTTGGGAGCATAGAGAAAGATCTTCTGTGGAAAAACACAGACACTGACAATTATGAATTGAAAACAAAATATTTTAGAAGAGTTAAACTCCACACAAAGTTTTGGGAATTTATCTTACTTATAGTTTCCTTTTCATGTATATGTAGTTAAGATAACAAAAAAGCCTTTTCAATATGTATAAAATTAAAAGGTTACATGATTTTTCAAAAGAATTACAGTAGTTAAGTCTGTATCATTTCTGTCTTTTTTTTTTGTGACATACAAAGTCATAGTCCACCTTACAATTGATGTCAAATTATATGCAATGAACCATAGTAGTTCCAATAAAATGTCAGCAGAAGCCATGATAGCAATGCTGGTTTCATTCACTTGAGAGGAGATCCCAGACCTCAGAATTATTTTTTGTTCCAATACACTAACTGGCATGGCCACTCACTAGCCACACACAATTATTTAACTTTAAATTTCTATTAATTAAAATGTAAAATTCAGGTTCTTAGTTGTACTAGTCACAATTCCGTTGTTCAAGAGTCAAATGTGTCTTGCGGTTATTATGTTGGAAAATAAAGACATGGATAGACCATTTCCATCATTATAGAACGTTCTACTGGATGGTATTGAACTAGAGTGACTTCGGAGGCCATGTTTTTGAAGATGGCAGAGTCACTGTTGGCCTGGTCTCGTGCATAGCTGCATCAAGTCTAGATACCTCCTGACTGGAACACTTACCTCCATTTTCATGAAATAGAAATAAACTGCTTATTTCTTTATGCTACTTTATCGATGTATATTTTAGTATAACAGTTCACTTTCTGCTAATTAATACCCTTGGTTGACTGTCTCTTTTACCCAATAGATCCTATTGGAATATATGTATTTTGTCAAAATTTAACATGATTCCTGACACATAGTAGGCCCTTGAAATGTTTCTTAAATAATTTAATATGTGCACCTAGGAGAAAGAACTCTGATTTAGAAGATTAATAGAAAATTCTTAAAGGAAGTAGCATCTAAAGTGACACTTGAAGGATGTATCAGAGGTGACAGAGATATATAATGCAGGAGGGAGAGGCTCCCAGATAGAGAAAAGACTCAGGGAAGAGAGCATGGATCTTCATAGGGAATGAAAATTCAATGGATTTGGAGAAAGAAGGAAGTAGAAGGTGAGAGGGCAACAATGAAGCAATTGTGATGGGCTGTATAAGCCCTGTTGACATTTTGTATTTCATCATGAGGTCAATGGAAGAGTTACTAAAAATTTTATGCTTTTACTGAACTTCTTTAAAATTTTCCAATGAAATGAATGTTTGTTATATTCTTAAAACCATTTGAGGAAGATTGGGTAAAACACTCTTACTCCAAGATCCTCATGGAAAACTCTTTTTGTGTCTTACCAGACTCTCTTTCTTTAATCCAAGTGTATGTATTTGTTTGTTTAGAAAAAATGGAACACAGTGGTTACTGTTATCTATGTTTTCCCATGCCATGGAATATGTTTTGGGGAATAGGTTAGACCCCTGTGTTGCATGTCAACTTGACTAATGTCAAGTATTTTGATCCATGTGGTAGTTTACATGAGGAGGAGCCTGATACAATCAACAAGTAGGGACTGCATAGCAGTGGAATCTCACTGCATTCCATGAGTGATGGGAAGACTATCCCAAGTCTTCCTTGGAACAATGATTCCAGGTCCTTTCAACTTCTTTAATTGTCATTTTTGGGAATTCAGGACCTTTATTTGTAAAAAGGATGATACATGGAAAACAGCCAAATCATGTCTATCACTGAGATGATTCTAACAACTTGTGTATATTCAAAAGACCGATATTATAAAAGCCTTCTTCTAATGTCCATTTTTTTATGTTCTTCCATAGAGAACCAATCCACACTTAGGGTTTTGGCCATTAGTGCTAATGATCACTTTCAAACCATTCCTCTAAACAGCATTCTTATGAGGTTCAGATCTTCATGTGCACCTGCCTATTAATGCACATCTCCATCTGAAAGATCCAAAACTCCTCAAATTTAACATGTCCAACTATAATTCATTATCACTCCCATATCATCTCCTAATTATAAAACCACAGACCTTTGAGTCATCCTTGACTTCTACCTTACTTCAGACCCCACAGCCTTTCTATTACCAAGTTCAGTTACAGTGGCCTCCTAAGCACCTCTCCCACTGATACCATCTTCTCAAAGCCCTCTAGTTGCTTCCAGAAACAATATTCTTATCACTTCCTTATGTAGCTCCAAGTTCCTGAAGGATGTATTCATTCTTAAATTCAGGGTAATATTCTTAAAATACAACGCTAAGTATGTAATTTCTCTGTTTAAAATTTTGAAATGACTCCTTACTACTTTCAGGTGAAAAAATCACAGGCAAGAATAGAATGCACAAGGCCATTCATGATCAAATCTCTGTCCATCCCTGTAATCTCATCTCTCACTCCTCCTTTTAGATTTCCTCATGCCTTCTCTTCAGCTACTAACAGACACAGTAGTTCCTATTCTACTTTGTACAATTTTTCTCTTTGTTACACATACACTTCCACCTAGGTAAAAAAATTACTTGGCCTGCAAGTCTCGGTTTGAATAGCTTTTACCTAAGACTATCCTTTTTAAATTCCAGGTAGCCATTCCTCAACACTTAGAGAACATCATAGGTTTGTTATAAAACTTAAGACACCATATGAAATTGCTTATTAACTTGCCTCTCTCCCTGACTAGATGTGGCACTCAACAAAGGCAGAAATTTATTTTATTCATCTGTAAAAGTACAAGGCCTACCACAGTACCTGACACTAACAAATCACCCAACAAATATTTGTTGAAAGAATAACCATTTTTTTCCTTTCATATAGTCAAAATAGTAATATCAAAAACCATAATGGTTGTATGTGTATCTTGGGAATGAAAGGATAATCTGGGACTCTACAGTCAACAGAAAATCCTAGGACTAGATCTAGAAAGTAATGAAGCCAGAACCACTTCTTCATGGTTATCTGAAGATCTGATCCCAGCAAGTAAACATAGAGCTAAAGTGAGGATTTGATGCCCTAATAAATGCAATAATTTGTAGAATAAATGTGATTGTATTATTTATTTATTATTTATTTATCTTTCTATGTTTATTCATTTATACTCTTGAATAAACCAGAGATAAACTTGAGAATAAACTTGAGAATCACTTTTACAAATACTTTTGAGATAGTAAGTTAATCTAAATAAATGTGAAAATCAAGCCAATGGAAAATTAAGGTAAATAAATTAAATCAAAATGATACCTTTTTATTTTCCAGTAGATTATCAGGATAAGTCAAATATTTTAAGATAAAATTTTAAAACCCAGCTAAGGTGAAAAAAAATAAAATTGTCCTCAGAGAACAGATATATAGCAGAAACTCAAAGCAATAATTATACAAACACTATGGGACTCTTTGGCTAAAAAACAGAATGAGGAATCAGGTTTAAGTTGAGGGAAAGAGCAAGGTTCAGCAATTACAGTTTAGAGTAAGACTCCCCTGTAAGTGAGAGCTGGTTGAAGCTACTCATAGCTCTGAGACTGGGTTAGTAACATCCTAATATCATCATAAGATAGATAGAAACTTTTAACAAGCCATGTATGACCTGGGGCCTTAGTGGGTCAGGTGAAATAAAAACAAGTGGAAATGAAAAAAAAGAACCATTTTGCAATCTTATAAATAAAAAATTTTGAAAACAAACAAACAAATGAATAAGGTCAGTATTATGTTGAACTTGGTCAAAGAGAAAATTAATGACTTGAAAGATAGTTTGTTGGATCTTATAAAACAGTACAAATAGATAAAAATATGCAATGAAAAAATAGTTAAGGTGAGACTCAGAGAAGGCTACAACATACCTCTAATTTGAGTTCAAAAGTGAATTTCCAGATTTATGGCAATTAGAGATATTCAGGAAGCAATTAAATAAAAATCACTGCAAATTCTAAACAGAATGAATAAAAATGAGTCCCAAATTAGTCATATTGTATTGAAACTTCCGAATATCAAGGATAAAGAGAGCAAAATTTTAAATCTACTGGAATGAAAAAGCAAATTATCCTCAAAATAAAAAGCATTAAACTTACAACATATTTTTCATCTACAATAAATTCCAGAGGTAGTAGAATCTTCAAACTGCTAAGGGGAAACAATTGTCAAACTAGATTTTAATTTTTCAGTTGAAACATCATTTAACAGTAGGAACTAATAAAGATATTTGAAAAATTTAAAAAATCCACAGATATTCAGTAAATCAACTCAATTAGAAAAAGTGAACCCAAGGAGAAGGAGTGAGCTACCAGAAAAAACATATCTTGGCTCATCGTTTATATATATATATATATATATATATATATATATATATATATATATACAATATAGAATATTAAATTTAATTAACTATTGACTATTTAAGACACAAGACATATAAATTATGTGGTTAAAAAGGCAAAATTAAAATTTTAGACAAAATAATAAGTAAAAGAATTTTATAAAAATGTAGCTAAACATTGGGAGGATGATAGGTATATCAAATAGCTTTAGACGGTAGAAATCATTTATAATTAAATATACATATTGAAAATAAAGAGATGACTAGTAAAACAATGTAGAAATATTATATATAGCTTTAAAATAGCAGTAGAGGAAAGGAAATATTTTTAATCCATCAGAAGCCTGGAAAGAACAAAAGCACAGGAAGCAGAAAACACATATCAGTAATGCAGAATGATATATGCAGGATATTAAAATTTACATAATATTTTGAAACTCAAAACAGACACATGTTTTCTTTTCAAATATATAACTATGTGTTGATCTCATTAGACATACATGAAAATGGTGAATATCCAGGGGAAGGAAGGATAGAAAAGCATGAAAGCTGTGTACAAAGAAGTCTTTGTGAGGGGAAAGGGGGGGGAACAAGGGAAAGAATTGAACAACAGCAGATGAGGTAGAGAGGGAAGATGGGAGGGGAGGGGAGGGGGGATAGTAGAGGATAGGAAAGGTAGCAGAATACAACAGTCACTAGTATGGCAGTATGTAAAAATGTGAATGTGTAACCGATGTGATTCTGCAATTTGTATTTGGGGTAAAAATGGGAGTTCATAACCCAATTGAGTCAAATGTATGAAAGATGATATGCCATGAGCTTTGTAATGTTTTGAACAACCAATAAAAAATAAAAAAAAATAAAAAAAAAGATATACCATTTCAGGACATTCTCTTAGAGACCTCTTCCTCCATCTAGACTGCACCTCCTACAGTTTCTGTCTTCTCCCAGTAGTCCATTCAATTATGAACTCATTAGTGAATTGACCCATTGATGAGATTAGAGCCGTCATGATCCAACTTTTTTTTCCCCAAGAGTCCCACTTTTGAATGTTGCTGCACTGGGATCCAGGCCTTCAACACATGAGCCTTTTGGGTACATTTTAGATTCAAACTATAACACAGGTGATAGATTCACAGCTGTAATTTTTTGGTATTTGAAATATCAAAATAATTACATATAAATATATAGCAAATATAACCTCCAAATTTCTAGATTAGAAGATCTTTTAAAAAGATTTTTTGGTCACCTCAAATATATAAGCTTTCAAAGACATAGAATACTAAAAGGTCTATATAATATTTAATTTTCTAATAAAGTTACATATATATACTTAAAACCATGTTTTACATAAATCAAAATATTGATTTGGAAATATTATTATTTTTCTTATGAAACAATTGTCCTTAAACTAATCATTAATGTTTGACATCAGTGACCTTCTTAGGGACATGTTTCATAGATACATGCTTGAGTCATCTACTGCAGTTCTCCAAGTCACATCATCTTCATTTCCCTCAAAGTTGAGATATAGAACACCTTAATCTATGTAGGATAATGTCAGTAGAAATATCTGAAGTTTCAAGTTTCCATTCTCATATTAAAACAATTTTTAAAATATCATAAGAATCATTTATTGCATTGCTTTTTAAAGTGACCTTTAAAAGACAAGCTTATATGGACATCTAACTCTTGCAACTGTGAGGCCACCTCCCCAGGCATAATGACTAAATTTGCATTAGATTTCTTTGCCTTGTTTTTAATTCATTCTCTCAGATGATCATCCCAAACTATCATTGATTGAAATCGTTTCTGGCTAATGAGTCTTGACCGTGCACATATTTTGTTGACCAAAATATAATAGAATAGATATAAAATAGAATAAACCAAAGTAGGAGAGATTGCACTTGTAATGGGAGAGTATCTTATATGTGGCATAACCTTACATTAGACATTTTTGGTGTATCGAACCTATAGGACTGTAGAGAATAACATAAAATGAATACTCATATATCTATCACCCAGAAAATACTCCTATTCTGAGCAATAATTTGAATTTAAAATAATGGCTTCCAATTGAGAGACAAAATAGAATAGAATCAATTTTCCCTGTTCTTTCACTTTAAATATAATGAAATACCTTGGAAATAATTCAACAGAAAATGGTAAAAAGTCTGAATGTTGGATAGAAGAAAACTCACTACAGATCTCAAGAGTTTAAGAGCAACACCATGATGAACAGTGACTTCCATAGGATTTCTTTTTTATCTTTCATTATTTACCAGGAACAAGGAAAGCCAGCAGGGACTTAGCAGGGACACCAACACCCAGTGGCAGTGGTAGGACGATCTACCAATCTTGGTATCAGAAGAACTCAGGAAGGAAATCCATCCCTTGACCCACAATCAAAAACAGCAGTAGGTAAGAGTAGGTAGGTCCTGAGTTAAATAGTCCACCCACACCCCAGATCAGCCAGTAATAGGTGGGTCTTTATGCAAGTGTCAGTAGAAATAGCAAGTTCCATATTTGTTATCCATTGACCCAGATGTAGAAGTTGACACAGGGCTTGAGTTTTCAGAATCTAGATCTAAAGCCAGTCACCCATTCCTTATGGATCCTGGTTCTCCACTCTGTGGCATAAGGCACTCAGGTAGGCTCTTTACTTTCCAGAGGCATCTGTGGAAATAGAGTGGAAAGCCAAACATCAACAGGTGAGATTGAACATGAAATTCTCTACTTCTTGTATATCTGGTACCCTCACTCCTCATCTAACAACATTGAGAGATCCATGGAAGTACCTGCAAGTGGCACCAGCTAGAATCTCACAAAAGCTCAAACAGAACCAGATGAATAAAGCAGACCAGATTATTATCACACAGTTTCAGAAAACTTAAGTTACTGAAACTATAACCCCAAAATGTAGTATAAAACCCACAAACTAAATGTAAACAGGGAAATGCCTCCTAAGATAAAAGATTTAAATAATGAGTCACCTAAATAATATTAAAAAGTTCAAGATAGAATTAAAAATACTCATTATATAAGAACAAAAAAAAATCATAGTATAAACCAGAAAGGTAGTCAACTGATGTCAATAACCAGATGAATCAGATTTTAAAGCATCTGACATAGATTTCAAAGCAGCCACTATAAACTTGCTTCAATGAAGAATCATGAATTTCTTTGAAATAAAAAGAACACAGCAAAGAAAAACAAAGTTATACCAAAAAAGGACCAAATGAAAATTATAGATTTGAAAAATATAAGAACTGAATTTAAAAAAAAGTTATTGTATTTTTTATACTTTTATTTATTTATTTATTTATATGTGGTGTTCAGGATCAAACCTGGTGCCTCACACATGCTAGACAAGTGCTCTACCACTGAGCCACAACCCCAGCCGCAAGAACTCATTTTTTTTTTAAACTAACAAGATGGACTCATAGCAGAGTGGAGATGACAAAAGAGAGAATCACTGGATTTGATTTTTAAAAAGTAACAAAATTTACTGAGTCTGAATAATAGAGAAAATAGACTGAAAAAAGAAAACCTAACGGACCTTCGAATAATAATAAAAATCTAAATTAATATCATTAGCATTTCAAAAATAGATAGGAAAGAATGTTGGCCTGAAAAGAATGTAGGCTTCTTCACTTTGAACAAATAATGGCTGAAAAATTCCTAAATTTGGCAAAGCACCTAAACATACAGAGTCAAGGAGTAGAGCTCACATAGATAAACTCAAAGAAATTCATTAATGAGACAATAATTAAACTTTTGAAAACTAAAGACAAAAATATCTAAAAAGCAACCAAAGAGAAACAATGCATTATCTAGAAGGAACAGCAATCCAAATGACAGCTGATTTCTCTACAAACACCATGGAGGCCAGAGGAAGTGGCACACCATTTTTTAAAAAGAACTGTGAAGTGTGAATTCTATACATTGTGAAGTCATCCTCTAGGAATGAAGAAGAAATTAAGACATTCTCATAAAAAGGAAAAGTAAGAGAACATATTCCTAGGAAACTTATACTTAAAGAATAGTTAAAGGAAGCTCTCTGAACAGAAAGGAAACTATAACAGAAGGATTAAAACTTCAGAAAGAAGAAGAAATAATGCCATAGGTAAAAATAAGAGCAAGTATAAGAGAGTTTGGTCCTTTCCACAAGTTTTTTCAATCACATTTGATGGTCAAAGCGAAACTTTTGTAACATTTGTGTAGTTCTTAATGAATGTAGAGAAAATATTTGAAACAATTATATTTTTAAATTGGGGAAGGTAAAGGGACATAAAAAGAAATAAAATTTCAATTCTTCATTCAAACCAGTAAAACACTGATTCCAGTAGGCCGTAATAAGTTATGTATACATATTGTGCCACCTAGAACAACCAGTAAGGAAACTATTCAAGATATATACTAAAAATAATATAACTAAATTCAGATGGAATCCTAAAATATATTCAAATAACCCACAGGAAGGCAAGAAAAGAGAAACAAAGAAACAGAAAACAGAAAAAAGCAAGCAATCAAATGGCAGACTTAAGGCTATCAGATTAATAATTATTTTAAATGGAAGTGGTCAAAATATGCCAACTAAAAATATAATTGACAAAGTAGATAAAATGTAATGACACAACTATATTTTCTAAAATAAATTCAATGCAAACACAATGACATAGGTATGCTGAAAGTACAAGAATTAAAAAATGATATCATGCAAACATTATTTTTTACAAATACATCAAATTATATTAATATTAGATAAAGTATACTTCAGAACAAATAATTTTACTAGGTAAAAGATGTTCATCACATTATTACAAGAAGATTGATTCCCCCAGGAAGATATAATGATTCTAAATGCATATATACCAATCAACAGAGCTTCAAAATGCATGACACAAAAACTGATAGAGATCAAAGAAAAAAATAGACAGATCCACAATTATGGTTGGACAATTCAATCCCTTACTCAGTAATTTATAGAACCACTAGACAAAAAATGAGCCAAGAGACAGAGAACTGAACAGTGCCATCAACCAACTGGATCAAACTGACATTTCTTAAAGACTTATCAACAGCATAATGCACATTCTTTTAAACTACCAATGAGACATTCTTCAAGATTGATTATAAAACTAATCCCCAAACATTTCAAAGCATTGAAGTAATACAAACTATATTCCTCAATGATAATGAAATCAAAGTAGAAATCAATAACAGAAATACAATAAGAAAATCTTCAACAATTGGAAATGAAACAATGCACTTCTAAGCAATCAATGAAAAAAATGAAGTTTCAAAAAATTTTAAATGCATATGACTTAGTTAAAATGAAAATAAAACATCAAAACTTGTAGGAAGCAGCTAAACATTGATGAAAGGGAAATTTATAGCACAAAATGTTTTTATTAGAAAGGAGAAAAGGTCTCAAATCAATAATCTACATTCATTCTTCAAAAAACAAGAAAAATAACAGTGAAGTAAAGCCAAAACAGATAAATGATATGAAATAATAATATATAAGAGCAGAAATAAGTGAAGTTGAAAACAGGAAAACATGCCCCCCCAATCAATGAAACAAAAGGTGGTACATGGAAAAAAATTGATAAAACCCCAACAAAAGTGACACATAAGCATCATTATACCTCCTGCAACCATTAAAAATGATAATAAAGAAATACAATGAACAACTTTATGTTCAGAAATTTGACAATTTGAAAGAAATGGACCAATTTGTCCAAATGCATGAACTAGCAAACCACAATCAAGATGAAATAGACAATTACAATACTACCATAACCATTAAAGAAATTGAATTTGTAATTTAAAACTATCCAAAAAGAAATTTCCAGATAGATGGAAATTTTACCAGTCATAGTTAATACCAATTTCACCCAATCTCCTCCAGAAAATAGGAGAGGGGGCCATACTTTTAAACTCATTTGGCAAGGCCAAAATTATATTGATTCTAAAAGTAGAAGATGCCAATATAAAAATATAGCCCAATATGAACTCAAGTTTAGAAACAAACATCCTCAATAAATATTACCATACTTAATGCACCAATGTGTACAAATAATGATATGCTCTCATCAAGTGGGATTTATTCTAGGTGTGCAAAGACAACATTCAAAAATCAATCAATGTTAACAATCATATCAACAAATCAAAAAAGAAAAATCATATGATTGTATCTGTGGAATTAAAAAAACAAACATTTAAAAATTAAGTACTCTTTATGGTAAAAAAATAAAAAGCTCTCAGTAGGTTATAAATAGAACTACAGCAATAAATAACATATAAAAGAAATCCACAGCTGTCATCAAACCTACTGATGAAAGACAGTCTGCTCTCCCCCTAAGGTTGGAAACATAGTTCATTCTCACTGCACATTTCAGAGTATGGAAAGTTCTAGTCCATGCAAAAGAAAAGAAAAAGAAAGACATCAATATCAAAAAGAAAGAAATATTTCCCATTTGCAGAAAAATGTGATTTTTTTTTTTTTGCAGAAATCCCAATGAATCTACAAAACAAAAATCCTAGAACCAACAAATGAGTTTGGCAGTCTTTCAGGATATAAGGTCAACACATTTTACATACTAACAGTGAACATGTGGAAGCCAAAATTAAAAACATAATGCCATTTACCATCAGGTGATTGTAAATACAATTTTAAGTATGCAGGGAACAAGATATTTGTAGGATCTGTGTACTGTAAGAAATACATAAGTATATGCTTAGTCAAACATTTATGGTATGCTATATATGCAAAGTACAAAATACTGATAAAAGAAATTTAAAAAGACTTGGTAAGTTGAGAGGCAATTCAATAAGCTGATTAGAAGTCTTGACATAGTAAGAATCTCAATTTTCCTCAAGTTGATATATAGGTTTAATACAATTCCAAACAAAATCCCACGAAGATTTTTGGTAGACATAGATAAAATTATTTTAAAATTTATATGGAAAAACACAAACCCTAGAACAGCCAATTCAATCTTAAGATGAATAAAATGGGAGGAATTAATCTACCCAACATTAAGACTTATTATTATAAGTACTAAAACTAACACTTATTTAGGGTGTTAAAGAAATCACAATGAATTATTACATTTAAGAGACTTAAAACACTATTAACATAACAAATATTTTTTAAAATAATTTATATATATATATTAATTAATTTTCTGACATACCTCTGTTTTCCCTAGTTTTTAATTATTTCCTCTTTAATTGCCTCCCTTACAAGACTTGTTTTGTTATATGCTCTATGATGAGAAAAGAACGTCAGATTGATAGAGAAATGGAGACAGATCAATGGAAAAGAGAACCCAGAAAGATATGTCCAAGTTTTAACTGAGGTGCAAAAATAATTTCATGAGAAAAAAAAATAGCATTTTCCACAAATAATTCTGAAACAATTGGATACCCATAGGGCAAAGAGAAGAGAGAAGAAAAAAAGGAAGGAAATGGGACATAATGGAAGGGAAGGGAAGGGGAGGGGAGGGATGGGAAAGGTAGGGAAAGAAAGGATGAACCTTGATCTAAATGTCACACTTTCTAGAAAAATTAATTCAAAATAAAAAATGAAGGACTGGGCAAGTAGCTCAGTGGTATATAACTTGCCTAGCATGAGTAAGACTCTGGGTTCAATCCCCAGCAGCACACACGAAAGAAAGAAAGAAAGAAAGAAAGAAAGATCAGAAAGTTAATTAAATGTAAAATATTAAACCATAATATAAACATTTGAAAATAGGAGAAAATATTTGTGATATACAAACAGGCAAAAAAAATTCGACTTGACACTCAAAACACAAGTGAAAAACTAATGAATTAGACTTCATCAAAACAACTTTTGCTTTGTGAAACACCCTATAATGAGGCTGAAAAGTAATGTATGGACTGGAAGAAAATATCTGCAAACCACGTATTTGACACAAAAGACTAGTATTTAGAATATAAAGAACTCTCAAAACTGAACAGTAAAAAACAAAGAGTTCAGTTAAAAAATGGACAAAAGTCATAAAGAGACACTTCACCAAAATGGTTCTACATATGACAAATAAGCACACGAAAAGATGTTTGGCTTCATTAGCTATTAGAAAAATGCAAACTAAAACCACAATGATACATCACGTATGAAGTGATTCTACCAGAATTGCTAAAATAAAGAATAGTGACAAACACTAAATGCTGGTGACGATGCAGAGAAACCAGATGTCTCATACACTGATGATGAGAATGTCAAATGGTACAGTCACTCTGGAAAACAATTTGGCATTTTTTTTTCTTATAAAACTAAGCTATGTCTACCATAGGATGCAGCCATTGCCTTCTTGGGCAGAGTGCACAATTTCCAAAGAGATGGGAATAAGATTTTCTCCATACACAATCACATCCTCTGCAATAGGGAAATTTTTCTTTCTTATTTTCTAATACTTAAACTTTCATTTCTCTTTCTTGAATAAAGCACTGATTAGAATTTACGCTGGTGATTTTTGTGGTAAGAATAAATTTTGTTCCCAATCTTAGGGGAAGAGCAGACACTTTTTAAAAGTTTTTTTTAGTTGTATATGAACACAATGCATTTATTTATTTTTATGTGGTGCTGAGGGTCGAACCCAGTGCCTCACACATGCTAGGCAAGCACTCAACCACTGAGCCACAACCCCAGCCCAAAAGCAGATGCTTTTTCACCAGAAAATCTTATGTATGAATTGTCACAGGAGCATTATACATAACAGCCTAAATGTATAAACAAACCATTTTCCTTCAACAGGTGAATAGTAGAAAAAATTGCAGTATAGCCACACCATGGAATATTACTCAACAATAAAAAAATAATGAACAATTGATACATAACTTGGATGAAATTTGATAAAATCATGTTGAGTGGAAAAAAATCCCATCTCCAAAGATTACACACTGTATGAATTATACATACTATGAGATTTTGAAATGACAAAATTTTAGACATAAATGGCAGATTAAAGGTTGTCAGGTATAAAGATCAAAGGCAAGGTACACAAGGAGGAAGGTGAAGATGGCAAAAGAGTGGTGCTTGTGGTAATCAACTGTTCTGTCCCTTGACTGGTGTTGACCATGGGAACCTATATATTGTGATAAAATTACTTAGAACCAAACACACACACACAAGTACAAATAAAACTGGGCAAATATAAATATCGATGTATTATATCATGTCAATATATTGGCTGTGACATTGTTCTGCAATTTTGCATTGGAGGAAACTGGATCAAGGAGAGAGGGGATCACCCTGTATAATTTTTTATGATTACACATATAGATTACCTTAAAATAACAACCAGCAACACTACAAATCCGAACTTTCTCCTCACCTTCCCTCTCCTGACCTCTGAGCTAATTGTTAAACATTTACCAAACTTGTGTTTGCAGAATGAACTTTGTATTAGTAAAGTTCATTCTGGTTTCCTCCCTGAGTGCCTCATAGGAGGCAAAGTAGGTGAGTGAAAGTAATGAATGAGTAAGTAGCTTTAGGAGGGTATCTTTATTTCTCTAGACCTTGGTTTTCTTTATCAGTAAAATGGAAAGTTAGTACTAGAGGAAGGAAAGTGAACACTTATAGAAAACCCACGTTTAACTATGTCTCTTTCCCTTACCCTTTCAAAAAGCCCAATAAGCCACACATTAAGCTATGGATTAGATGTGTATTTTCCCCCAAAATTTCATGTTCTCAGGGCTTGGTCACCAATGTAGTGGTGTGGAAGTGGTGGAACCTTGAAGAGGTGGGGCCAAGTGGAAGATGATTAGATCATTGGGATACTCCCCTCAGAAGTGATCAATGTAGTTGTCAAGAGACCCTGGTCCCACAAGAGCAAGTTCTTATGAAAGAGCAAACCTTGCCCCTCTCTGCTCTTGCCTTGCCATGAGACCCATTCCACACATGTTCCCACCATTTTGATTCCATCCACCATGAGGCTTTCACCAGAGTTGAGGAGAATCCAGCACTATGCTCTTGAAGCTCCAGAACTCTGAGCTAAATAAAGCTCTTTTCTTTATAAAGTACCAAGTCTCTGGTATTTTGTTATAGTAATGGGAATGGACTAATATGTATCATGAGTGTTTGTGTTATGGATGAGAAAACAGGCTGAGAGATATGCCAACCACAAAATGGAGCTGAGGTTGGAGTTCAAAATCCAGGTTTTGTCATTACTGCCTAGAAGCCTATCCAACTCCCTGAACAGAAATCTTATAATCAGGATCTCCTAGTGGAAGGTGAGTAGGGCAGAGAATGTCCTACCCTCTGAGTAGAAAGGGCTGGAAAGTTTAAGCTCAAACCCACCAAACGAATATGTTCACACCCTAAGCCCAGACCTCACCATGTTGATATTCCTCCATTTACATTGCAAAGTGACCAGGGACAGCTGCTAATTGCCCCTTGGCTGGGCATCAGTCCCCTCTGTTGCCAATTCCAAGATAGCCCCAAAGTGGGAGAATACCCTCCATAGGGGGCAGTCACAGGATTGGAGTCAGCAGCTATGAGCCACGGAAACTGGGTATCAACCCTGGACAAAAGTGCCCGGGGGTATTCTCATTGGTCCCAGGGGCCAGGATTGACCCATGGGGAAAGAAACAAGGTTGCCTTGGGTTGGAGGCCACATTGTCCAAGACACTGGCTTCTAATTCTGGGCAATCTTCTTGATGCTTCCCTCACAGGCCAGGATGGTCAAAAGCAAGCCTGTTCAGTAGTTAGAGCCCAGAGCTGGACATCAGGTGACATGGACATCACCGAGTCCTACAACTTCCTCTAAGACTTTGGATGAGCCATGTTCCCCTTCTAGGATTCATTGTCTTCATCCGCAAAAGGAGGGAGTCAGATTAAGGGTTCCCAAGGCTTCTGGAAACCCTGTCAGCCCTCATGGTGAATGTTAGTTCTAAGACTCACATGTGAGACCTGCTTGAATCCACCACAGCTCCCAAATATTATTGGAACAGAAGTCCTAGTTGCATTTCATTTTTCTTCCAAGGCTGTTTATTGCCTAACAAAATGTACTTAGTGGTAAATTCGTGACTGTGATGTTAAGTGTAGGCTACAAACCCAGAGACCAAAAAAAAAAAAAAAAAAATAGGGAGGTGGGGGTGGCATAGGGCTGGAAGAGGGAGGGCTTTGCAAAGGGTTGGGAAGCCTCAAATTCACAGGAGCATCTCATAAACATGGGCACCATTCCTTATTCATGCACCTCCTATGCCCTGTCTGGGTTCCGCGTGGTCTCCACTTCTTGTTAGCTTTTCAGCTGCGCACCAGGCCCCAGCTGGCAGTGGCTAATTGCAATCAGCAGGTGAGAAATGTAGGTTCTCCGAAAAGGAATTATCTCCAGCGCTGGGAACCATTCTGGGAAATGTAACAGACCTGGGAAGAGAGGGGGAGATGTTTAAAACCTGAACTTCTGTGAAAAGCATTAATTGAAAAAGACAGCACCGCACACCAGGACCCCATGACTCGCTCGCCTGAAAATATAATGAAGCAACTTAGTGTGGAAGGAAAGACGGGGGAGCATTTCCATTTCTGCACAAGCAGCTCCTGCCTCGTGTGTACAAGCCCTGCCTGCCCTCTTTTTCCAGGAGACCCGGAGAGCACAAAGGTTTGCTCTCAGAGTTTCATCTTTTACCTTTATAGTTTTCTGCATGAGTAAAATCACTTCACTGAGCTCAGACTTTTTATTTATTTTTTTAAAGAGAGACTTCACACAATCTGCTGGGAAGCGGAATGACTCGAGGAATAAGGCTCAAAGTGGATTCACAATCTCTTGAGGTCACCCAACACCCAGGTGTTCATTTGGCCTAGGGCCAAGGGAGGGGGTGGAACATGGGTGCAGCCATATACCCTAAAAGGTTGTTCAACTTCTTAGGGAAGCAAGAGACCAGTCAAGGATCAAAGTCCCTCATGGAGGCCCAACTTGTTCTCAGCCCCAGGCTGGGCTCTGGGGTTCCTGTCAGAAGCAGCTGGAGACAGGAAAGAACCCGGGTGTCCTTCTTGCAGGCTTCGCTGCCTGGCCCTATACACGCCCACCTGGTCACCTGCAGAATAGGCTTCTCTGTGTGTGTAATCAGGAAAGGGAGCACAAAGCGTACCAGAGGGGTGATTTGAATTTCATTTTCTCAATATGTGCCCCTGTGGGGAGCACGGCGTGGTGTGGTGCATGCTGATTCAAAGAAAATAGTCTCTGCTCGCTGAGGTTTAGGGCTGGCCATAGACAGCTCACATTGCACACAGTCATGGGGTGCCCTGAAAATCGCCTGAGGGGGTCACACAACAGGGGACCCGTCCAGCAACCTTTACAGAGAAGCTGTGTGTTTCGGACAGACACCAGCACCCCTGTGGATTGCAGGATTGCTGTGTCCTCATCTATAAAATGAGTGAATTGCACGCCGTGACCCTTCACCTCACTTCATCTCTCAGATTCCATAAAAGGCGAGTGATAAGATGTGGCTTCAAACACAAGAGATTCACTCCTCAAAATAAACGTTTCCTGGGGTTTGGGGAGGGTGGGTGGCTTTGTTTTCTCTTCCTTTTGGTTGTTTGTAGGACAAAGAGGAGGGAGAGGTTAGGCTCTGGAACTGATCTCAAAAGGAACCATAGTCCCTGGTGGGAGGTCACACTAAGGACAGAAACTCTGATGAGGCCCAGAAATCTTTGTCCACCTGCAACCTCCTCTTTCCCCAATTCCCAAGGCACCCTGTGAGCCAAAGGAATGTCAGAAGAGAGATTAAAGTCTCAGGGGGAGGAGATAAAGAGGCCTCAAGACCTTCAGCCTTGGAGCCAAACCCCAGGCTTTGTGATTAAAAGACAAATAAACAGCCATTCCCACTGGGTCTCTCAAATCTGCTGAGCTGCACAAATGTTTCCTTTTTATAAACAAGCTTACCTGAAGGAGGCGAAGCAAACCAGACCCTGAAATCCCATGCAGTTTTTGGCAGGAACCCTTAGGAGAAACTGCTGTGGACAGCTTATCCAGTGCATTTCTCACATCTCTTGGAAATAAGATGTCCAAGTTTGAACAGAAACTACAAACAAACAAAATCAGCCCAGCGCTTCATGCCAGCTTCCCCATTCTAACACAGGGAAGGTTTAGAAATATGGGAAGGTTTAGAATTAGAAGTCTTGGAAAGGATTTTAGAGAGGTCAGCAGATCAAGAGGAAGGCAGAGAGAGAATATGGCCCTTAGCCTCCTTTCCACAAATATTGGGCTCTGCCCCTCCAAGTTGCATAACTCCAGGGTGTGCTATTCGCATCAAAGTCTGCAGAGTTGTGTTCCAAGGTATCACACAGCAAGGAATATGTAGCTGATGGTGCCCTGGGCTGTGAAGCAAGACCGAGGTCTCCACAAGGACTTGCTATGTGCCACCAGTTGGATACACCAGAGTACAGACAGAGCAAATCTGAGCCTCAGTGAAACTCCATTCTCATTATTCACTTACATAGCATATTAGAAGGTGATGTTACTATAGTAAGAATGCACTAGAGGGGGACAGATCAAGGTGAGGAGGATATTAATCTATAGTAAGATGGTTGGGGAAGGCATCATTGCTTTGGTGTGACTTGAGCAAACACAGGAATAGGTGAGAGTGGACTTTGCCAGGAGATTCAAGTGGAGGAGATATGCAAATGTCCTGAGGTAGGACTGTTGCCAACATGTACCATGGTAGGTAGAGCCAACATATACCATGGGAGCCAGTGGAGCTGGAGTGGAGAAATTGAGGGTGACTCCTCAGGTTCTGAGTGCACTGGAGAATGACAGAATATTACAGCCATTCTTCTTCCTCATTGCCCCATTGACCTGCTCTGCTGGGCTGGGATCTCAATAGTCACCTCTTAGAGCCGCATGGTACTGGGTCTCCATTAACTAACATCTAGTCTGTGATATGGTCCTGTTTGATTGATAATGAACTAGGGGTGATGCCCCACCCCTCTGGCTCTCTGGATCACATATATTTCAATGAGGGTGACTCAAAAGATTAGGCAGGCTTTGGATCTCATACAGACACCGATGGTAATGCCTTAAGAGGACCAGGAGCTGCTGAATTCTCCTTGTTCTGAGTGCTAGGGACCTAAGACCACAGGGTCTTCTACCAAACCCCTGCCACTGTCATCTTAGCAACTTTCCCAATGGTGCATCTTGCGGCTATAGGCATCATGGGGATGAAATTGTGTGGGAAAATGGAAGGTGATGGTAGATATCTGTCATTAACTTCTGCAGTCTCACTGTAGAGGTGACACTGTCTCTCTTCTATTTCACCACACACAGAGTGATCGAATAAAAGTTTGCCTCTCGCCTACCACCTTTTCCAACACAGAAAGTGGAGAAGCTTCTGGACACAATGAACTGCTCCCTGGACTCATCAGATTTTGCTCAAACTCTCTTGCCCAAGCACCTAGTATTGATTCAGTGTCTGTTATCTTTAAATACTCAAATGCCCTGGCTCAGAGAGCAATGCAAGGGCTGGGGGCATAGCACACTGGTATACTTGCCTAGCATGCACAAGGTCCTGGGTTCCATCCCTAGCAACACACACACACACACACACACACACAGTAATAGAAGCCCAGCACAAAATGAAATGGTACTAGAGGGTGACCTGAGCATTTTGATTATGAGTTCTTGGCTAGGTACCATTTGCTTTTCCATATTTACTAACACTAGCACTATGTACCACACAAGCAGAACCTCTAAGCAGTGGTGATACTGGCAGTGGGAAGTCCTGGAAGCCTGGGGACCTGGGTACTGCTATATGTGTGACTATATCAGTCAGGGTTTGATCAGAGAAGCAGAAATCACTACAAGATTCTAGACTAAGGGCTTTATATTGAGCCTTCCATAGTTATGGATGATGATTATGTCATCTGTGTTGTTGATTGGCATCTGGGATTGATCCTGAAGACAGTAAGGATGGCAATTGGCAAGGAAAGATGGATAGCAATTGGGGGAGAATAAGGACAGACTAGTGTCCACATGGACAGACAGGAACTGCAATCAGTTTCTCATCATCTCTAGTTTCAGTCATACAAGTGAACTGCAGGCTAAACCAGTGTCCTGTACTACATGGCTACACACACACCAAACCCAGGACTTCAGGAAGCCTAGGGAATAGGCCTGGTGGGAACTGGAGAGGCCCAGTTGCTGCTCATGCCAACAAAATGAGCCCACAGATCAGTGACAATTCCCACCAGATGTCCTCCTGGCTGTCACAGCAGAGAAATGACTGCTCCTTCACTTCCACCTTCAAAACATATGTTAATTTCTTTTCTGGCCAGCCCCAGGGAGAGAAGAAAAAGAAAGGAATTTTGGAAATGTAGTTCCAGCTTAGCTATTACAATGCAAAGCCACCACAGTGACTTTGACCTCAGGCCTCAGTTTCCTGCAACATCTAGGGGCTGCTTAAAGGAAATTGTTGGAAGCAACTATTTTATAAGAACAGTTTTTCCCTCCCTTGTTAGGAAGCCAGCAAAGACAATACATTGCTGCAGGTCAACTTGTCTTGTGTGACAACATACCACAAGAGCTCAGATGGTGTTACAGCATTGGGAGTCTCCACTACATGGAATGACTCCATCTTAGCTTTGAGAAACTCTGTGTCCTGAGGATGCACACATTGTCCCTATCTGGGTCAGTAGAAGAGAGATGCTATCATCTATCTTCCCAAGTGGTGAGCCTTAGATCCATCATGCTATTAGACTAGTACTGGTCACCTGATGAGGTGGTAGCAGAATGGCAAAAGTCCATGTTCATCTTTAGCAATCAGGCTGGGAAGTTCCAAGAGCTTGTAGAAATATCTGGAGACTGCCCACTCACTGTTCAGTTACCAATCTGGACCCAAACATTTTCACTAGGAGTTCATCTTCCAGGTGATTCCAGAAAACACTAATATAACCTAAGGAAAATCTTTCTGAGCAAATAAATGTGATCATTATAATCTGTGGAGAGCTTTCTGCAAAATATGCTCTGTTCAGACTCTGCTCCTAGGTGCCCTGAAGGGGAAAGAAAAGATAAGACCATATACAACTAAGGGATGTGTGTATAGAAAAGAAATAGGAAAAATAAATTGTTTAGAAAGAAAAGAATAACTCTCATTTATGACCAGAGAAATGAAGAGTGAAAAGAGATGCCTTATCAAAAAGTACCTGACCTTGGGCCTTGGCTTTGCCATGGTGGAAGGAAGGCTGGGCTTACTGATCTCTGCTGAAATTCCATGAGTTTATGAGAACATCAACAGAGTCTAAGTCAAGGTAGAGAGGATACCATATCAGTATATGTAAGATGTAAAGAAAGTGCCAGAAGGAATGCCTTGATTCAGAGCATTTCTTAGGGAAAAACAAAAAATTCTGTTCATTATGGGGTGGAGCTGATCCAGCTCTGAATAGAACTATAGCCCTGAAATTTCACCCTCTGTATTTCTTCCCTGTGAGATGTATGGCTGGAGCAAATTCATGTGTTGAATGGAGCAAGATGGCTCAGACCTGAGCCATCAGTCCTTCAGTTGCATAGTCAGGTGAAGAGTCTGGCACAGCTGTGAGAATCTGGGCCATGGAGCTTGGAAAAGGAGGCATCAAAGACTTAAACATGGGGAAAGAAACTGAATTTGAGTTTCCTTGGCGTCTGAAATATCCAAAATTAAAATTTAGAAACTCAGTGCTAACTTAGTGACTCATGACATTCTTGCTGAATTCTCACGCTCGTGATGGTTCAGTGCAAGCAGGTCTTCCCTTATTCTGCAGGCACAAAAGTTAGGCCTCAGCTTGCTGGGTGCAGAAATGGCCCAAATTAGAATTGAATTAATATCTTTGTCTAGTGTAGGGGTTGGCAAACTTTTTCTGTAAAGATGCTAAATATATTAGGCTTTGGGGGCCAGTCTTTGTTGCAAATAGTCATCTCTACCATTGTAGTACGAAAGCAGCCATAGGTAATATGTAAACGAGTGCAGGTGACCATGTTCCAATAAAACTTTATTTGCCAAAACAGGTGCAGACTGGATATAGTCTGTGGGCTGTAGTTTGCTGACTCAGTATTGAGTACTTCCTAGAAAGTTGGGCTTGCAAATGCTCAAAATATGGATAAGGGGCTGGGGATGTAGTTCAGTTGGTACAGTGCTTGCCTCACATGCACAAGGTCCTGGGTTCAATCCCCAGCACCATACACACAAAAAATGGGTAAACTAAGCATTCACAAACTATACTGTCCTAACACAGAGAAGGAAGAAGAAAATAAAGGAAATCAGTGAAGAAAGCTGATTTTTCTTTCATGAACGTGGGTAATAAGAATGCAGGAAAAGTCCAGAAGGGGTAAAAAGCAAAAGATATGTTGCAAAGGTTGCACACACTTGGATAAACACGAGACAATGTAGAGACCAAGGGACTAAAAATCAAGGGACCCAGAATCTAGAACATTCTCTGCCAACACTGTCACAACATCTCCTTGACCTAGCTTCCTTTTCTGCAAAATGCAGAGCTTGGACAAAGAGCACAGCCATTCTGTCATTCTGCCTAGCTCAAAAAGTCTTAGAATCCAGAGCCAAGCAGGAAACAAAGACAAGGCATGCTACAGAGAAGCCACTGTGGGAGTGAGTAAAGGTGGGGATTTTTGCCGCCCCTGCCGGTGTCTCTCTGTAAGGACAGATCCCTATCTTCTTCCTACAGCACATTATGCTGAAGACATATCTGAGCTTGTGCTTAAATAAACAATTTAATCAGCAGCCTAAAGTTCCCTTTTATCACCCAATCTCCCAGCTAGACTGAATGATTATTTTCTATCTTCTAACCGCTGGACTGTTAAGTATCAGCTGAAGCAAACAGAATATCAGGCATTGTTGAATGCCATCGCAGCCCTACTCTTTCACTAACACAATTCCCATGGTGGCTGGTTTTTTTAAAGACTTTGCAACTAAACATGGCTCTCTCTCGAAATGATTGTGCTGTAGAGAAGTACTTTGTAGCATGGGAAGGAGAGGTTTTTCATCTTGTGTGACTGCCACCAGCATTTTGGTCATTAACAAAGAAAATGATATACTAGTCAGATTGCAAGCAATCCCATCACCAATTTCAATAGGGAGGATATTTCGACTGTCCATCTGATGTCCAACCCATTAGGACTCTTAGCCTTACTCATTCACCTGTACAATGGAGCTAGAAATATTCATCTTGTGTGGTGGTTTTACTGGAGAATAAATCAAATAATGAGAAAGAGTGTCCAGCCCAGCTCCCAGCACATAGTGGGCACTCTCTC